TTATATCAATATTATTACAAAGAGCTCGACCTATTTCTGACGATTCGTAATTTGTTAACTTATAACCTAAAATAACCTTTTTTTTTTTGCTTAATAATTTATAATTTTATATATTAATATAATGATATTTTAAAATTAATAATAAATATTTCGAACAGGGATCGAGACATACTCTTATTCAAGGTTTTTTTTTTATCATTTTCGCCTATTTAAATTATTTATCGCCTGTATTAATAATGTATTATAGAGTAAAATTAATTAAATCATAAAAGTGAACGTACTTCATTAGTTTAATCGGAATGATTAATTTCATTTTCGTGTCTAAGCTGAAAAACTGATGTGAAAAACTATTTTTATGATTATGATTAGCGATTGTTTAACCTATTGAACAGTGTCACTACGATAGCGGATCGTTAAGTGACCTTAAACCGCTTTGGTATTATTTTGATGTATGTACATCAAAATATCATTCACGTCGATGGTTCGCGTTTTGAATAAGTTAAAAACTTAAAACAAATTTCAAAAAAAAAAAACACTTAGATTTAACTTAGCCTAAACTTAGCCACTATAAGAATTGCCGACGCGAATCGGACGCGTTTTATTGAGTTTTGAATTTATTTAATTTGTAAGAAAACTTAACTTATCGCCGGATTTATTATTTAAATTAATTATTTTCAAGGCTTACAAATTATGTTTTGATAAAGGGTTAACTGTTTATAGTCACGTCTTTACCAACAACTAAATTTATCTAATTTATGGATTTCATGTAAAAGATAACATTTATATATAAAAAAAAAAAAAACCTAATTTAGTTAAACTATCCTAAATTTAGCTTATAACCTAATCTTACAGCCTCCAAAACGGCCCGACGACACGATTTGGAACACGTTTAACCGTGTATCTTAATTATTAAATTTCCTATGGATAACATCGTGAAATATAAACAAAAACATTTTTTTTTTTTTTAATTTTTAATTTTTAATTTTTTTTAATTTTCTTTTTTATTCATATACTATATCGATAGTAAAGCATCTTAATAGTTACTCTCATGATACACGAGATACTTATAAATTTAAAAAACAAAACTATAACAAAAAAATTATGATAACGAGGGATTATTCAATCTCCTCGTCATCTCTTAAATAATAATATTTGCTCTAAACACATGAACCTGGTCCCACTGAAAAGAGACTGCGGAGAAAACCGTGACGCATTTCGTGGGAGCTGACAGGTATATAGAAGATAATTATATACAAAGACTTAACCTATAAATAATTATGATTTTATAACGAATGGTCGTCTTAACGATGTCACATCGTGATCAAAACTCATAATTATTTAATCGATGAAGGGTAAGGACAATAATGCCAATACATTTAAATAGAAAAATTTAGTAAAAAAAAATAGAGAAATAAATAAAAATCAGAATTAGCCTAGACTTAGCCTAAACCGCAAGTGTCTTACTTAATAAGACTTAGCCGGTCAAAGTAAATTAAAAGACTCTTTATGAAAGAATTAATAAACTGCGTTGTTATCACGAAAAACCGTTTGAAAAAAACTGCTACGTAATCAAAAAATATGTTAAACTATTTTATAAAAATAACAAATTTATAATATAAGGCGTTTTAGACGATTCCTTATTAATTAACTAACGTAATTCATCAGTTGATTAAGACTGCGTTTTATTCGCCAGTACATGATCAATACTATGTAAATCACGTTTTACCTATATTATTAATATCCCACTGAACGAGACGACGGTGCGAACCGTGTAACTTTATAGGGGTGAAGAAATTTATACACAAAGACTTAACCTATAAATAATTATGTTAAGATGTCACATCGTGATCAAAAATCATAATTATTTTATCGATGAAGGGTAAGGGCAATAATGCCAATACATTTAAATAGAAAAAATTAAGAATAAAAAAAAAAAAAAAACTTACATCCACGAAACGATAGGAAGACGGAGCGAACCAGTTTGCGATTTCGTGGATATCTAATATTTATCCATGGATGTCTTTTTACGTGTTCAACCGTCATTTTCTTATTTTTAATACTTAACCGCTAGGAATTAATAATTACATAATCCATGAGATTATTTTTTTTTTTTTTTAGTCATAAATAGCCAAAAAAAAAAAACTTATCCTATACATCACTATTATAACAAAGAGCGCAATTATTTAACCGATGAAGGGTAATGACAATAATGCCAATACATTTGGATAGAAAAATTAAAAAAAAAAAAAAAAAACCTTAATTATACTAAGTATACTTAGCCTATCCGTTGATCAAGACGGCGTATAATTCGCGCGTAATGATCAACAATTGCATAAGTTCCATTTAGTGGTCCAGTGAGAGGATGTGGCATATCATATTATAATTAAACCTATATCGTTAACCTAAGGAGTATTACGGTAAACGGGGAATCCCACTGCGTCCGACGGATTATTCAAGAGCTGTAAATGTTCTATTTGTTCAAAAAAAAAAAAAATGATTACTTATCAAACCCATGGTTCCTAAGAGAGAGCCATCTATTCCGAGAGAAATTTAATTCTTATAATCAGCCCCTGATCTGCGAGGGAAATATACGGAAAAAAAATCAAAAAAGAATTTTATTTATAAGCTATTATATATAAGCTATTTTATATAAGCTATTATGAATTTCCCAAAAAAAAGCGAATTAGGAAATAAAAATGAAAATCGAAACAAATTGAATATTAACAGCTCAAGAAAAATCCATCGACTGCGGTAGAACATCCTGTATTCACGCAACACAAAATAATTAACCTAACTTATCTGGATTGTCAGTGCATGATATAGATTATTATATACATGACACCATTGATCAATACCAATCTATTGTTAATCATTGACATTACACTGATTGGGTGAATTCAGTGGTACCTATAGTAACTGTTGCTACCATCCCACAGAACGAGACGACTGAGCGAACCGCGACGCATTCCGTGGGACTTGATAGGCGATGAAGAAAATTATATACAAAGAATTAACCTATAAATAATTATGTTAAGATGTCACATCGTGATCAAAAATCATAATTATTTAATCGATGAAGGGTAAGGACAATAATGCCAATACATTTGAATAGATAAATTTAGAAAAAAAAAACCAACCTTAATTACACTAAGCTTACCGATGATCGATACTCGGTATAATTCGCGGGTAATGATCGACAATTGCAAAAGTGCCATTTTTACCTATAGTAAATGAACTTAAATCTTGTTAAGATTGTTTGTCGCTAGAGAATGAAAGGATCAACGCAACAATAACTAGTGAATACGCTGACCACAATATAAGAAGTATGATGACAACATTAAAAATTCAACAAAAAAAAAAAAAAAACGTAGAAAATATGCCTGTTTTTTACTTAACCTAAGAACATTATCAATAATACCCCAAATTATTTCCCAGTACATAGTATTGATAAAAGAAATATTAAAAATAAAAATAAAAAAAAAACTACAACTAAAAGTAACAAACTAATTAAGCATAAAAAAAAATAAACTAACTTTAAACCATTCAACCGCAAACCGGTGACGATGTTACGATCGACGAAACGTGTACGATGCGTGGTCGTTGTCAGTTTTATAATCGGCCGTGGCTTTATCCGTGAGTT